TGCCCAAATTCCCTTCAAGAGATGTGCTGATCTCTCAGCCTTGTCTCAGGCTAAAGTTTTGCAATCACCATATAATCATTGCTTGGATTCTGCATTTGGATTTTGAAAGAAAGTACCGTCTTGCTGGTATTCGCTCATCTCCACATTAGTACCCTCTTGTACAGTATAAGACCTTTTTGCTGGTGGTTTTCTACAGCATCTGAAAAAAGTTACACAACTTTTTTAAAGCAAATTGTAAGAGATATTAACCATTGCTAAGAACAAGAACGACCGATATTGTATAAGAGAAAATCACCGCTCGGTTTCTCTAGATAATCAAGTAAGGAAGTCATTATTTGGAATATAATGAGGACTTAAATAAGCTAGATTAAGGGTTTTCAATGTCCATACAGTCTATAATGTCTGTTCTGATTTCGCTTCCTTATGACAATCTTTGTATGATAACTGAACTAACATTTTGCATTTCACCCACCTTATAATAAGACCCAATAGTAGAATAAGAACAATTGTTCCACCAACTAATCCACCAATTATATAAACAAGTGAGCTGTTGTCTTCAGGGAAAAATCCAGCAGACGTCGTTACTGGAGACTCTGTGGTCACTGAAGTTTGAATCTGGTATCTTGATACGGACAACAAGGTCTTTCCAATGTCTTTACCGATATTACCAAGTGAACCATTTATGATATCGACGAGTATAGCACCGTCAATAGAGTCACTGAGATTTGAAGAGACTCCGGGTGGAAATTTGACATAAAATGCTACAAGAGCGTCCATGCTGCCAGATGGTGCATTAGCCAGTTGTATTGGAAAACCAACAAGGTTTACATCGTTTGAAGTGAAGGTAATGAACGAGTTTGATCTTCTGATAAAAATATAATATTTGATATAGCTTACAGTTATTACGTGCACTTTAAACAACTTGTCTTGAAATGAATATCGAAAGACAATAATGAATTGTGAGCAATATCTATAATTACAAAAACTTACCTTTTTCTAACACTTGCAAAGGTTTTCTTTTAGCAACTCATGAGCGTACGATTGTAAATTTATGCATTTTTTAATTGATGAAGAAGGAAGAGCAAGCATGAAACTCCATGGCAACGCAACAAACAAGATTGACTTAATTAAATTCTTAAATTATGCAGCTACTTTGTGACAGGTGAGTTAAAGAAGATTAAAAGATTTTTGCAAATGCATTAAGATAGCACATTAAAACAGATTTGACAAAATGCAGGTGTTACTCTAAAAAATCCATTGACTCTTGATCGGGTTACCTTTTGCGTCCTTTCGGTAGAAGACAAATGTTATTCTTTGCGCAAAATGTCGTAGTTTCACGCGCAACACCCTTTTTAAACACAAGATCGAGTTGTAGAGTCCACTGAAAAGAGCAAACCACCGTAGTGAGATGAAATTTTGAAAAAATAAATGCCCTTAAATTACATAGAAAATTGTAATTCATGCCATTTATTGGTATTTAAATAAATTAAATGAGATGGAAAATGCAGAAAATTACTTTAAAATGAAACGACTTAAAGTCTAGAGGCACTGGGACTTTCTTTGCGAATAAGMTCGAACTGAATTAGCTGACTTATCATAAGTATGCTCATCCCATTCTTGTACAAATATCAACGTATAGGAGATAAAAGCGGTCTTTAATAATCATGCCCAAGGAAATACAGTGAAAGCTCATGTAGTTACTGGCTTCATCAAGTCCATGGTTATAAATACTCTCTTACGAAATTCCATCACATTCATTTTTTTTAAAGGGCTACTTGGACGAAAATTGCAAAACATTAGAAAAGACTTGGAAATCAAATAGACCTATCCATGTGTGTCTAATAATCATGAAGCAACAGATTCCAAGAAGATATTGACACAAATCCTTTATAATTTTGGGAAAAAATGTTGGAGTAGATGACGTCATTTACTCCATCCTTTTGTTCTTCCATCTTTTGAATCAAAATTTCTCTGGTCTGGGATAATTCTAGGCTCAGTCTCCAGCCGTCGGGATTTCGTGCGCCCGCGATACTCTCTCCCCTGACGGCTGGGCGCATGGGGTTCGCTATTGTCAGTCTTGACCAATCAGCGAGTGGCCCCCGATATTTTGAGGGGCATATCATTAATAAATTAGCAGGCAGCAGTGTAACAAAATGGCGGACAATTCGTCGTTTGAGATTCTCTTTGAAAGTGCTTGTTTGAAGGCTCTGAAGTCATTTAGCTTGAACGAATTTAGAGAAATACAGCAAAAGGCTCTTAAAGAGATTGTTCTTGGAAAAGATGTCCTTGTTATTCTTCCTACTGGATCGGGCAAATCTCTTATTTT